ATAAGACAGCTCAATATTTTATTATATCTTTTCCCCCGCATATTTCGCAACTTTCCGCATATTTCGCAACTTCCCGCAATTTCACCGCATAAAATCCCGCATATTTAATAATCAAGGGTTTTAGCCCGCGTTTTTCTGGAGGGTCTAATTAAAGATCTCATCAGTGGAAGCCTTGGTACTGCAAAAAGCACGACCAATCATCTGAGCCGGCTAAAGTAACTGGATGGCCTACCTGCCTGTCAGCCTTCCATCTGTGCACAAACTTATCTCTGCTCTCATTGGTCATGTGCGCGTTCGTGTGTGTTGGAGGAGGGGCTCTGTGAGGAAGTGGCAGATTTTTTCCGGCTGCGTATTTTCTTATTCTTGCGCACTCGAGCTGGTTTTTCCAAAATTACCTACCCCACCTTTAAGTTAAAAATATATTACATATATATGAATATGTTCTCTGTTAAAACATGACAATAGATGTATGAGATAATAACTCTTTAATATACGTTTTTGAGCTGCAAATATAAACATTTATTTTCCTTAATCAAACTAAGATATAATATAAAACTACAGTCAATGACATCAGAGCTATGGCAGCCAATCAGGGAAGGGACGCTCTATGATAAGGAATAAAGGGACAATGTTAATAATAATGAGAACAAAATAAATATAAAGTTATATATGTTCATAGACATGGAAGTAATTAATTGAAATGTAAACTGGTACCGCGTCTCCTTACATTTAATAATCAAACGAAACAGTGAGAGAACTACACTACCCACAATCCCCTGCTTCAGACTGGCAAACTCTAAATAAAGGCAGGAGACAGACGGGATCTGTCCCTGATGAATCATCTCTAATTATTAAACGCACTGTGTTACATGTCAGGGATTTTAGTATAACGTTTAAATATCTCTAGCTCCTTCTGGTCACATGACTCCAGGTGACTCTCAGCAGCCAATCAGAGCAGCTCGTACTGGCGCAGGTGCATGCGCTGGATGATGTCCCGACAGTCATTGAAGACGCGGCGGATGTTCTCAGTGTCGATGGCGCAGGTGAAGTGAGGATAACAGTAATGTTTTGCATCTCCACTGGCGGTGCTGATCCTCTGAGGACCGGAAGTGATGTCGTCAATAATCACAGTGATATATGTCTTCATAAACTCTTCGATCTATAATATAATAATAACAATAATGTGTATTCGTACCAGGAACTCGTCTCTGATGAAGAACTTGGCTCTGGTAACTTGCGGGTCTTCATCAGCGTCTGGAACAGCTGCAACAGATTCATATTCATCATCTCCACATGTTGGTGTATATATTTAAATATCTGTTGATATACATCTATATATTTATATGTGTACATTCAGGAGGCACTTGGTAGGTGGTGTACTCGGGGAAATAATCCTCCAGTTTGGATTTTCCAGCCAGAATCTTGTCAGCGAGAACATCCTGTTTGTTCAGGAACAAGATCACTGAGATGGTCTTTAAAAACCTACAGCCAATCAGAGAGCAGAGAGAGTTACATACAGCCAATCAGAGAGCAGATAGGGTAACTGTGACGGGGCTCTATTTGTCCGTCCGAAAACACTGGCCTAGTCGGTTGGGTAAGCTCCAAAACTTTATTTTCAGCAGCAAAAATAAATAAATAACGAACCAGCACAACTTAAACAAACAAAAACGTCCAAATCAGACCGTCCATCACTCACGGAGAGTAAACGTGTTCAGCTGTTGCCTTCTCTGCAACATTTCCCGAGTCCCCCTTCCAGGACCAACCCTGTCCCTTATTAACCCATAGCCCCTCCCACCAGGCTTACCGTCAACAGGTGACAACAATTAAACTCCAAACCACATTTCAACATAAAAATCCGACCCAAACATAAACAGGTGAACCACCTCTTAACATAATCATTCCCCTTAATTAACAAACGTAAAATAAATAAGAAATTGCATGGTCCACAGCAGGAATTTAAAACACGGAAGTGATGCGCCTCCGTCTTTTCTCCGAAATGTTCGGTGTGTGTGTGTCGGCTGTCAGCGGCGGAGTCAGTCACTCATGTGATCTGCTCCATCAGAATCCCTCACCCTTAATTGGTCTGTTTGGTGTCTTACCCGTTGACCATTTAATGCCATCCTATTTCGCTGAACTTGTAGCTTTCCTCACATTGCTGGCTAGGCGCGTTATTTTGATGCATTGGAAGGGTCCCCTTCCCCCCTCTCATACAAGTTCGAGTCTGTCCCCAT